TTTGGCAATTTTACATCAACGGGTGTTACGTGGAAACACGGACACTGCCAATTTGTTATCCGCAAAACGCGAGGGAGAAGTTATTAATAAGATTTGAGGAAAGGAGACAGAATGGGTAACTGAAACAACAAAAAAATAGAAAGAAAGGGTTGGTTGGTGGCTGAAATCTAGAAACGTGACTTCGTGTGAAGGGTTGCCGTTGAAGACTAGCTTCCAATGCGGAGAGGTGTGTGGGCCACCTGCTTTTCCCTGTAGTACACGAAATCAACCTATATAACGAAAGCAGGAAACTTCTATGGACCTATAGCAGCACAACCTGGAATATAAACGTAAACAAGAAGGGAGGACAAAAGTGAAACGCTTTGCTACAATCAGGTACGGGTTTTTAATTAGAACCAGAACAGAACAGGTTTGACTCCAGAGCAGGTTCGGAGTGGATTTTCCGACCGCTCTAGAACACTGAAAATTATTCACACTGGAACCAGAACAAGAAAAGAAATCGTCTCGGAGTACCTAACCATATGTTCTTAAAAATAGAATTTACAATAATTATTAATTACACTCAACTTGAGTCCCTAAATAAAGAAATAAAGAGTATTGTATGACAATTAACAGCAATAATACCTGAAATATAAATTAATAAATAAGCTTACTAAATGAAGTACCTTCGTAAATGGCCATTTAACCCCAGTGTACAAGTATTTCCTATATTCAGTGCAGCATGTATTTATGGGATAGTTATTGGAGAAATATAGATCAATAATTAAAGTTGAAGTAACAATACATAGCCTGACAGGCAAATTTAATATTATGGCATAATATAGATGGTATAGGTAAATAGTTAAAATTGAAGTAGGTACCTAACAGTACATAACCTAAATGGTAAATTTCTTATAATGAAGGTAATATATATAATTAATTAAAACTGAAATAACAACATCTAATCTGAAGGGTAATTTAATGTAGAAGAACTGCGTTGTTGTGGTGATTTACTCCAACAAGGGGTTGGTGAGGTTTGATATTAAGACAATACAACACACTTATCAAACCTGAGTAGTCCCTTATCTCTTGGGGCGAATCTGACGGATGGGATTAATATCTTCCAGTGTTTCCGATGGCCTGGGACTGGATCAGGATCGCGATAAGAAACAACTGGCCCTGGGCACTGAAGTTCAGTAACTAGGAGTCACTAAGGCTTCCAATTTTCCAGAGGAGGCTGAAGATTGGAGGTACTACTTGAAATATACAGTAAGCTTAACGTATAACTTTTTTCTGAAAGTTAGGGACTAAAGTGTGACGACTAAAAGGTGATGATTAAAGGTGATAATAAAGCGTAACGTCTAAAGGTAAAGGCCTGAAACAAATGGACTTTATGAGACTGGGCGTGGAGCGATAGGTAGGTATGTCCGATATTCGGAATTTAACCGTATAATTAACAGAAAATAGAGAAGAAAAACCACTTACCAAAATTCTTTGGCCTTTAGGAACAAACAATTGATCACGTTGCCGTTTTTCGGCTCACAAAGAAATCCGCACAAGGCGATTTGGTGCTAAAATAACGGATTAGCCACCCTAGATCTATGAGCGAAAACTTAGCAACTCAGAAATTGGCAAAATGTGCCTGAGGAGTTTTCCCGAACACTTAATCGTGGAAAGTCCTCGACCTGAATGACCTCTGCTTGTCCCTGCAATGTCCTTTAAAAAGGCTCTGTCAAAACTCCAAGGTGAAGGGTTCTGGGGATTTTGATGGTAGTTGGGGCATGGGACTTTTTCAAATTAAGTTAGTACCGGTCATTGACCCTATTTGGAGCGCTGTCAATCTAGTCAATCTGATCGGATCGGACAATCAGCTGTTCTAATTGTAAATATTGTGATTTTGTTTATTAATAAATTAATTGTCTATTTATTTTAACCCTACTAAAAGGAAATCAATTCCATTATCAAACCTCTAACTCAATGGTTCTGGGAAGAATGGAAAGTTTGATGAAAAGTGTGGCCACAACTATTAGATAAAAAACAGTGGCTTGAGGAAGGTATGCTATTCATTGAGGCGAATACGCTTATTTCCTTTCATTTTAACCCAGGAAAAATCATCCCGTAACAAGGGTTTCATAATAGTGAGCTTAAAGCTTCTGTTCCTAGATAATTTAGGTAGTTTATTAAATACACATTTTCAATTTCAATAAGGCGATTTTATTTCACTCGATGTTATAAAATAGATACTGAGACGATACATTTTGTATTGAGTGCAAGCTGATCCATCAAAGCTGCCTAGATGGTTGAACTTATTAAATGGAGACTGACCATCAATTATTGTTTATATCACAGATAGATTTTCAAGAACTTCAACCGCCAAGAGACATGAGATCCATTTTCTAGCTGCAGCTTATCTGCTTTATATACAGGGTGTCCCAGGGAAAACAGTCCACCTCGATTTTTTTTTATTTGAAATGGAAAAACGCTCCGCTAAGTCGATTTTAGATTTGAGGGGAAACTATTTTTCAGTTCTTTTCATCCCCGTAGCTTCTTGGGAGAATAATCCCCCAAATTTGAATAGGGGAAAGGGGTCGCGTCATACCTCTTTTTAAAGGTTTCATCAGTCCTCGAGTTCTTTATGTCCCTGGAGTTTCGACTCATTATTTTTATCCGTAACAAAATGACAGCTTGTTAAAATCTTGGAAATAGACTATTGTTTTAGTAGGAGTAAAAGCGGTACTTATTATCTCCCTTAATAAAAATACTTACAATTTACAGTTCACGTGTACACTTAATTGGTGGTATTTTTATTAAGGGAGGTAAGTATCACTTTTAATCCCGCTGAAATAATAGTCTATTTCCAAGATTTTGATTAGCTGTCATTTCGTTAAAGATGAAAATAATAAAACAAAATTCTAGGGTCATGAAGAGCTCGATGAGACTTTTAAAAAGAGGTGTGAGACGACCCCTATCCCCTATTCAAAGTTGGGGGATTATTCTCCCAAGTAGCTACGGGGATGGAAAAAACTGAAAAATAGTTCCCCCTCGAATCGAAAATCGACTTAGCCGAGTGTTTTTCCAGATTTTCATTGCAAATTAAATAAATCGGGTTGGACTGTTTTTCTTGGGACACCCTGTATACATAAAAATATCGTCTTATATACATATCCGTAGTATAACTAAGAATGAAATGCAATATAAGGAAGTTCGATCCAACCAAAGTTTATTCGTCTAGACGAGAATATGCGTCAGAGCTAAACATTTCTTTGCCTCTATACATATAAATATAAAATCTGTATAGGTATTAACTTTTAGCATATTAAATTTTAGCTCTTACAAAATCTGAAAATACGTTGATTATTATTGTACAAGCCTTATACAGCTTTAATAATAGTTTCTCGGAACGGTATAGTAGCCCATTAGCACCTGTGTTTTCCTATTAGAAATTTTATACTGCCTAGAGTGGCCATTTGGTGTAACAAATTTTAAGTTAATTCACGAATTTATTTCACACTAGCCCCTAGAAACATTTTTGAGTCAAAACGAAATGAAGCTTTTAATATTTTGAATAAACACTAAATTTTAAACAGCAGTAAAGCAACCAATTTTCCTTTGGAATTGAAAAATAGAAAACAGAAAGCAATACGACAAAGCAACAAAAAACTTATTTGTTTTCATTGCCTCGAGATATTGTAAATTTTAAACAATTCGTTTTGGAACTTCTACGAAAACAAATAACAAAACAAAGTTGAATACAAGTTATATTAACCAATTGCCACGCTGATTTATAATCAATTATCTATTTTTTATATGCTTTAATGTGCTTACCCCTTTCCTCTAGGACTTTTTAAATACATTGTTGTAAAGTAAACATCAAATTGCTATGTCGGCATTAAATGTTTATTTAAGCCGATGCCGTCCCATAAGGAACGTTCATTTGTTTTCTGGCTTTAGCCTGTAGCAATTTGATCCGAATATTTTCTTTTGTCACCTCTGTATTTTAATCAATAAAATAAATGTTTTTTAAAATACAAGTTTCTGAATCGAAAATATAATTTACATATCGGACTTACGTATTTTCTTTATCTTGCGCACGTATCTAATATAGGTACATATTATCTAAACTTTGATATTTTATCGATTATCGCAATTTCAACCAATAAAAATACCAGACAAATTTGTGGCCTACATTAAATACTTACATACAGAAACAATTCTGGTTAACCGATAATCCCATAATTCCCATACATTATGAGGGGGGTCTAATTGTGGTTTGTTTCCAAACTCCTAATGGTTATCTGACATGCAAATTACCATTAGAGGAATAATTTGTGTAATGTAGGTATAACATAAAATTGCCTCGTATATTTATAATAAAATCATTCTGGATTAGCTTCCTGCTTGCTTATTTTAAAATTGAAAAGAATGGTATTTTGGGTAACAAGCGAAAATTTTTGTGCAGGCTGTGTGTTATTTGTAAAACATCTTTAAAATGAAAAAGTGAAATCTTCAAAACAAATCGATTTCTGACGACAACAACATCAAAAAACTCTTGAGAAGTGATGTTTGTATTCAAAAAATCTATCTCTCAATTTACAAAGCAGACATAGGTACTTGTAAATTCGCGAAAATTGTGAAATTTATCAAAAACTTGACGAGGACAAATCTATAATCACTGAATCAGTTTCGAAGAATAGGAAAGATTATTACATTAAAACCACATGGAAGATTTTCATCTTTTAAAAGTCTCAGGGCAGCGAAACAGCGGTACATTTCTAAAAAATAAACCTATTTTCAACTACTACCTATTGATTGTTTCCATGATTGTGCTTGATAATGTTGACAGGTCGTTTAATTTTGACCGCAAATAAACGAACTGGCGTTGTTGCTGGAAACGGAATTACCATATTTCATGCAAATATCAATTTTCAGTCTGAATAGCCATAGTCAACATACGCATTGTCGTTCAAAATCGATATCATTCAAACGTTCTAGATTTCGAAATATTTTAACAAACGACTCACCTTCTCAGCTGCGACATAACGTGATGCATCAAGCTGGCCTCTTCTTGCAAAGAATTAAATTGCATGATGTCGTTTTCCAAAGTCTGCGCCAAGTCGTCTAGGAATTCCACGGCCATATCGTCCTCGAAAACCGGATGCCGGATTGTCGTGACCCATCTGTAAACATTTATTAAATACTTCCATGTATTGAAAGATGAGACATGATATGAAGGCCTTTGCCTTATTTAAGGCTTTTAATGCATATACATATAAAGCTACACAATTTAGAGGGATATGACATTTTATTGAAATAAAAAAATTTATTTCTATTTTTCGCTTTGCACACATCAAGATCTCTTTAAAGTTTGTTTCGGAAAAGTCGTTAGTTGGTTGATATTGGTGGCTATAGTCCTATAGTTTCCGCTACGAAATTATATCATGAACAAAGTATGTTATGAAATTTCGGAATAGGATGCCTGAAAAAATATAGCTATACTCGCTCACTAAAGCAATAAAGTTCTGTGAAATTTATATGTCAGACCACTGCAGAATTTTCGTCCACAATTTAAATTTCAGATGGGATATTATAAAAATAAAAGCTAGCCTCACTTCTCTCACTCTGTCTCTCTAATATGTAAATGGCCACGTTCACGCTCTGCTGAAATTTACGAGGATATTTTTTTAATTTCTATGATAATCGGAAACAATTTGACGATCAATTTATTGTACATATTTTTCTTTTTAAAGTTTCTACATTTCTATGTATATGCCCCAAAGCCATGTTCTCATTAGTCAAGAGACTTGACCTCAAGTTGCTAGAATTCAGTTCATATAAAAAAGATTTGATTTAACTGATTCCAGAATATAATTTAGAATAACGTCGAATAAGCAAGTGAGTGATATAATATTTTGTTCACACCTCTTATTAGTCATGTTGTATATGATGTGTGTGATTTTGATTTACTAAAATCTAAAACTACTGACTAAGCTAATGAGCGCTTTAACAAAATAATTTAATCTCACCTGTAGACAAATTGGACGACTCTCCTTTTACATGCTAAAATAAATTCCTTGTCTTGGTTTGAATAATCTATGTTATAAGTAAGCTTTAGTTAAGAAAAATATGGAATCAAAATAATAAATTTGAAATAAACGAATTAAAAAAAGGATATTATTTGTCGAGGGCCTCAATGAGCTGGTGCGTGGGTAGGAAGACAATGTGAGTAAGTAGAAAATCGTCCAGAAATGGATCCTGAGCTGTGGCAACGATAAAATTGTCGCCACCGCCCATGGTACCTCTGCCATCTAATCTAGTTTCTAATAAGTGCTCTAACATTTTTTGCGGAGTACCCGCCATCACAGTATATCTGAAATAAATAAAAATTATGGCATATTAATAATAGTGATTGTCTTATTTAACGAAATTTTTAAAATCAGCTAGATCCAATGGGTTGGTTTCAAAAATTGGTAACAGAATAAGTACTTGAAACTTCCAAATGCAGATAACGTTTCTAGTTAATATATTGAGCTTCGTACACAGGGCCGTAGCCAGGGGGGGCATTGGGTGGCAATGCCCTAGTAGTGTATGCCCTATGTCAAGTTTGTCATGCCCTATCACACATTTGACTCTAGCTACGGCCCTGTTCGTACAGACTTGAACATTATGCCGAACAACGAACAATACGAACACAACAACAAATAATAGACGGAAACCCCTATACCGCAACTCAGCTACAATCACTGGAAACAGGTGATACCACAGAGGGCGAATCAGAAGACTAATCGCTACCAGAAGCAAGGGCAGTGAAACCAGGAATACCTGGTAGTTCAACTGAAGACTCAAGAAGACCAACGGCGGAAAAGCATAAAACCGACAACCCAAAGAGAAAGAGAAGGAAAATACAATACAGTCCTAGGGCAACCAGGACAAGAAGCACCACAGCCAAAAAGTAAAATTATAAAGTTTTTTTTGTTGGAAAAGGTACTAGTCTCTTTATTCGTTTCTTACCAGACTGGTCAAATAAACCAGACTTTTAATGTTGTTTCTTTTTTTAGATAGAATAACTCATTCATACACATATACCTAGGTAGTTGATTTATGGTGTTTTTTTTTTTCGTGGGTGTTAGAATTTTGAATTATATTGAAAATGAAATAGATTAGGAATAAATTAATGGGTACTGATATGGAAAATTATTTCATTATAGCTTGAACCTGAGAGGTGAAAACATAAGAGATTTTCGAATTTTGGAATAATAATTTATAACAATGGATAGATATTTCACAGATTTCGATAACTTCGAACCAAAAACTATAGAGGCCAGCAACCTCAGCATTGCTAATGAATGTTTGAGTGGAATAAAAGGATTTTCTGTATTCCACTCAAACATTTGCAGCTTACAAAAGCATTATGATCAACTCCAATTGACCCTGAGCCAATTGGAAGAATTTGATGTAATAATATTGACAGAAACTAGAATCTTACAAAATCCAGCGTTTTTTAATATGGACAATTACTCCACAGTATATAACAAAGGAAACTATAATCAAAATGATGGAGTGATGGTATATATTGGTAAACAATACAATTTCACAACTGAGATTATAGAAATAGCAGGCCTTAAATGTGTTAGAGTCGAATTTAAAATTGATAAATATTATATTGGAATAACAGCAATTTATAGATTACATGACATCAACAAAGATCTTTTCATACAAGAACTTGACTCTTATATATCAAAACGATCAACTAAAGACATTGAAATAGTAATTGGAGACATAAATATAAACATTCGTGAGAACTCAGATACAACTAACAAATATCTGATTTCTATGCAAGAAAATGGCTTCAAATCCTGCATAAATGAAAACACTCGTGAAACGGCTGAATCAAAGTCTTGCATCGACCATATTTTCATGAAAACCAACAAAATCGATTACAAAAAAACAATACCTATAGTACTTCATTCTAAAATATCGGATCACTATCCGACAATACTGAAAATACCCACAGAAAATTTTAAAGAGAAAGAATCAAAAACTATAAAAAAAACTTACATCAATTACAACATGTTCAAAACAAAAATATTACAAAACGATTTTACCAAAATTTATGACTCAGAAAATATAGATTTTTGTACAGAAACACTAACAAACTGGATTCAAACAGCAAGTGAACAATCAACCTACATTAAAGTGATAAAATTACAAAATAAGAAAAAATCATGGATATCAGCAGGGATAATCCAGTCAATGAAATATAGAGACAAATTATACCATAAATATTAAAAAAATAAAGGCATATGTCAATACGAGCAATACAAACTATACAGAAAACAACTGAATAAGCTAATTAAAGAAGCGAAAAAGATGCACTACAAAAATATTATAAATAACAATACAAATAGCAACAAAAAAATGTGGCAGACCATAAACGAATACAATAATAAATATCAGAAATTAGACAATAAAACACCAACTGAAATAATTGATGAATACGGTAAACCTGTAACAAAACCCAAGCATATTGCGAATGTATTTAACAAACATTACTCTACGGTTGGAGAAAAAATGGCAAACGCCTTAAAGGAAAAAAGCACTGCCATTAAAAATACTTTGGACACATACTTGGCAAATTCAATATTTCTGAGACTTACAACTACCTCAGAAATTATTGACCTAATAAAATCTCTTAAAAATGATGCCGCTCCAGGAAAAGACAGAATATCCGTAAAACTCTTGAAAGAATCACATGTGGAGTTGGCAGACCTGCTGAGGCACATTATAAATCTATCATTCACGACCGGGTACTGTCCTCGACTATTTAAAACAGCGATTGTCAAACCTATTTTTAAAAAAGGACAACCAAATATGACTGAAAACTATAGACCGATTAGCTTAATTTCAAATCTAGCTAAGGTGTTCGAAAAAGCTTTAAAAAAACGAATAGTCAGTTTTATCACCAAATACGACATTTTGTCTCCTCATCAATTCGGCTTTCGCAAAGATACCTCAACTAACGATGCACTTGCCTACCTGACAAGTGAAATATATCAATCAATCGATACTTCCAAAAAAAATGCTGCAGTATTTGTGGACTTGGCAAAGGCTTTCGACACAGTGTGCCATAGCAAGCTTTTGCAGAAGCTACAAAACATTGGTATAAGAGGAACAACATTGAAACTGGTAGAAAGTTACCTCGACCAAAGAACCCAAATTGTGGAAATACAAGGTGAATTAAGTGATGAAAAAACTGTAACCTTTGGAGTCCCACAAGGAACAATCCTAGCGCCGGTACTATTTATCCTTTACATAAATGACTTACTGAAACTTGAGGTTAACGGCTTAATAAGCTCTTTTGCGGATGACAGTGTTTACCACACAAAAGGAGATACATGGGAAGAGGTAGAAAAAAACATAAGAAATGACCTCAAAAAAATTATTCACTGGCTTGATACAAATCTGTTATCCATTAACCCGGACAAAACAGTATACATGCCATTTTCTAGTTATGTCACTGGACTGCCAACCAATAGCCAGATTACCATCCCTCTAGAGTTCAGAAATGAGAATATTGAAATAAAGAGTGTAACCTCAACCAATTACCTAGGAATACAAATTGACTCCCATTTGAAATGGGATTTTCAAATACAGACATGTACAAAGAAACTTAGATCACTACTATTTTTATTCAAACAAATTACAAAAATAGTGAATCTGAAAACCGCTAAAACAGTTTATTATGGGCTGGTGCAATCAATTTTGTCATATGGGATAATAGCATGGGGTGGAGCATATGATAACATAATGAAACCGTTAATAGTGGTCCAGAGAAGAATTCTGAAGATCATCTGTAAACTTCCAACACAGTATAACTCAGATGATCTATTCAGTCACGTACAGGTCTTGAAAATAAGACAATTGCACTACAAAAGCGCATTAAATTATGTAATAAAAAACAAAATTACACAATTACCACAACACACCTATCAAACCAGATTTGCTGCAAGTAATCAGAGAGTTCCCCCAAGAATGTCCAAATCAAAAGGTCAATGTTCTTGTATATATATTGGCATGAAAGTATTCAATAAACTACCCACAGAATTAAAGAACGAGTCACACAAAAAACAAAAAACTAAGAAAGAAATAAATCAATGGCTTATCCAAAGCAATTTGAAAATCTGATGTGTATAATTAAGGGTTCAAGCGGGGGTTCAAGCTAATTAATTAATTAATTAATTAAATAAATGACTAGATAATTGTAAAAATGGGGAAATTTAGTGTATTATGATGGGCCGAATTATGATTTTTTTTGTTTTTTTTTTCGGGTCTACTATCTACTTTATTTTCATTTACCAAAAATGTGTGTACTTGCAGAGAGCTAAGAACTACAGACAAGTTCTTTCGAACTTTGTGGATCTTATCTCTGTTAGAAATTACACTTAACTTATTTTAATCAGAGGGTAGGATGAAAATGTTACATTCTATATTTGTTAAAAAATGTTATATTCTATATTTATTTATACTAGTCTTAAATGATTATCTGTACAAAATTGTTGTATTACTTCGCATGTATAAATAAATATTATAAATAAATAAAAAAACGACGATCGAAACACTAATTTGGACGGAGGAGTGTACGCCACTGGTATTTTCTTATTTCTGACTATTCCCTCAAACTTTCCATGAGGAAATAATTTTAGTCCGAGAATTTATTTCAAATTGAAAATACCTTTCCACTATTGCTTTGTTCTAGTTTTCCTTGCAACTCTAGATGGTTTGAAAATTGATTTAAGCCAATTTAAATTATTTATTTGAAAGGTTTAGAAAACTGCTCCCTCTTGGATCAAATACTGGCAGTATCTTGGGCAATCACAAAAAAATAGCATTTTTTATTGGAATATGATATCTAAGTGGGGGCTACTATACTTAAAAAGTCGTTTATTCTTTAGTTCCCCTTATAACCGAGACTTCTCCATTTACAATATCGGCTAGAAATGTCAAAGGAAATGTCTACCTTTAGAGGATTTATGCCTTCGAAATCCTACCTCTCGATATTTAAGACAAAAGAAATCTTCAGAGCTGATTTTCAAATGGGAAACCCGGAGGGAAACCATATTCACTGGATATTTATTTGAACTGAAATATATAGTGGTGATGTAGGCTTCATTATCAAATTATGTTAGCTCCGACTCTACTATCACACCCAGAAATATTGCGTTTCCTCTCTAAACTCTCTACTCTAGGCATCTAATGTTTATGCATGTCAAACATGTGTGTAAAATTCTCAATAAGGTACGTAACATGTGCCAATAATGGTAATACAAGCGGTCATCAAAGCTCCGTTCATTTATTCCACAACCGCACACATCACAATAATGTATCTATAACAAACAAATTGAAATACCCTAATGTTTCGGTTTTTTTTTGGGAGAAACAAGCGATTATAATGATAATAAAATACACGCCAACGTTTCAATTTAATCGTTAACCAAAAACCGCAAGCTTTCCAGCATTCATCTTCGTCTCTCCAGGCACGGAACGATTATGTTTTACAGCTGCTGACAAAGAAACGTGTTTTAGTGGGCCATAACATTTATAAGAAACGACGATTTTTATCGCAAACGAATACCGTTCGGGCGTTCGAATTACACGAAATGGACAAAGAATGGATATTCTAGTACTAAATTAGGTTTAAATTGGATTTTTACTATTATTTGAACTGTTTTCAGCATTTTGAGTCACAAAATAGATCCATAAAACGTTACGTATAGTTATATGTATAGAAGGAGCCTCCATCCTCCATTAAAAGCTTCTCGGTATTTATTTGTGAATATTTTTAGGTTCCGTGTCACGTTGTTAACCCTATCATCGTCTTGCAGCTGGTAACCTTTGAATCCGAATAGGTAGCCTTTTCTGCCTTGTTACTACCTAATTTTAGTTCTATTTTTAGTATTACTAAATGGGGAAGAGACGTCATCAAGGGCCAAGGGGCCAGGTTTGCCACAAAGTATGAAGCACCGTTTCTGTCAAATATTTTAAATAAAGTTGTTTTATTCCAAAGCAACGCATAATTGATTGAAACATTCCTTAAATTTATGCGGTGCAGGCTGAATTCGTAAGGTGCGATCGATCGGAATCGCTCGCGGCTCCAAGAGGCTTTGGTAAATCCTCCAAATACTCTTGTGAGCTCTATATTTCGAACTCTTTCCTAGACTTGATGCGAACTTCTTAAAACTAATTTGGAAAATTTAGTATTCAAAAACCTACCCTGGATTTTATTCAATTTGAAAGTATAATGGAGTAAGGGAATTTCAAATGTATTTTTAAGGTAAAGGATATTTTCATGGTGATAGTAAATGTCTTGTAAGATAATCAAATGCGTTAGGTACTAACGCGCGAAAATCATATGCTAGCACTAAAAGTTGAGAAAAGGGTTTGAGACAAAAGTGACACTTGTAAAAAAAAATGGAAAAAAAAAATACATTCCAGGGTCGAAATATGTTAAATCTATACTTCTTTTAATAGGTCTACTATAACGTATATTGAATAAAAAATTTAAAACTAGTGTGAACCGTGAACCGAGATTTCCTAAGTTTTGCAACGTTGCCTTTTTTAAGTATAACTTGTACTTGGACACAATGTTATACTTATACTTATAATATATACTATATTTTTTATTGAAACTCTACCATGTATTTCAAGTTCTTCGAACATTTTTGCCGGTATGATTTTGAACCCTGAGTTCATTTTTTATGTCAAAATGGTTGGGAGTACAGCATTACTAGACAGTCTACCACATTTGCCCCCCATAGAAAAGTATATAGGGGCAACTGTGGCAACTTCAGAAATCAGAGAATTATCAATGTTGTCATCAGCAGCAGGTTGTGTTTAAAACGTTTGTGTTGTGTTGTTAGTGGGCTTAGGCCAATTATACATACTTATACGTAAGTTGGGTACAGGGCCGGCCCTACCATAAGGCGAATGGAGCGAGCGCTCCAGGCGCCAGACCTCGAGGGGCGCCTCCGACTTGTTCCTTGGTGAAAAAAAAAAGAGAAAAATATGTTTCTGAAATCCGTTTATCCCAGCGATGTTTTTGCATTACAGCCTATGGCCTAATTTTTGATTTTTTCTCTGGAAATCTGGGATACTTTGGGAAATGTAGATTTTTTTCATATATCCAGGAGCCTTCTAGCTTAAACATAACAAAATTTGAGTCGAAAAAAACCAAAGATGGCAGAGTTGCGATTTTTGTAATTCATAAGCCCCACTGAGTGATATTTTTGCATTACAGCCTATGGTCTGATTTCTGATTTTTTTCCTGGATATCTGGAAAACTTTGGGAAATGTAGAATTTTTTTATATATCTAGGAGCCTTTTAGCTTTGACATACCAAAATTTGATTAGATGAAAACCAAAGATAGCTGAGTTACGATTTTTTTAATCCGAAGCTCCATTGAGTGATATTTTTCTCGATATTTTTGCATTACAGCCTATGGCCTGATATCTGATTTTTTTCCTGGAAATCTGGGAAACCTGGAGGAGCCAAATATTTTTTGGCTTATTGAGGAAGCTTTCGGCTTCAACTTATTAAAATTTTATTGAAAAATAGTTCAGGATAACGGAGCTATGATTTTCACAATTAAATAGACACACTTAGTGATATCTTTGCCATGGCCTGATGGCCTCATTCCTAATTTTTTTTCTAAAAATTCTGAAAACTTGTATTAACCAAATATTTTTTATTTATTAAGGAAGCTTTTAGCTTCAACATACTAAAATTTTATAGAGAAATAGCCCAGATTAACGGAGCTATGATTTTTACAATCAGACAGACACACTTAGTGATATCTTTGCCATAGCCTGATTGCCTCATTCCTGATTTTTTTTTTCTAAAAATTCTGGAAACCTAGAATAACCAATTTTTTTTATTTACTAAGGAAGCTTTCAGCTTCAACATATTGAAATTTTATGGAGAAATAGTCCAGGATAACGGAGCTATGATTTTTACAATCAGATAGACACACTGCTCTGAATCCTGTCTTCGCTTTTCGATATTCTGCTATTCTGTTTGCGAGCAAAAGGGTGGTAAGTCTGTGATAAGACAGCAGCTGAAACTCAGCCAGTAGGTAGGAAGAGCCCAGCTGGCGTCTTCCAATACCAATTCCTGTGCCTGTGGCGCCTATACTGAATCTCTCCTATTAAAGGGGGTGTAACCTTAAAATACAACTTGTATTCAGAAAATAAAGAAGAAAATTTGAAGAACTCTTGTGAAAATCTCGCATCGCTATTCAAAATAATAAGGTAGATACGACTAAATAAAATTATGTCTATTCATCGCGTGACGTCATAAATACACGCAAAAATTGCAAAACCTATTTAAACTGACGTAGCAATAGATGTGAGAACGCAAAAACGATACGATAATAGCTCTTTTCCAACCGACATGAGAAACGTTCTAGAACGGTGATTTCCAGTTGATCAATTCATTTGTCAAGTACTCAAGTAGAATAAATGTTCAACTTATTGAAAAATAGGTGGACAACTGGAAATTACTGGTTCTGGAACGGTTCTCCTGTCGGTTGGAACTGAACTAACATATGCAGCAAGAATCAGCAAACGCGCGCCAGTGCCGGCTGTCGGACTTAGTTTGTGCATATGACGTCACAGTGCTAGGAGAGGGAGCCACGGTATCTTCGCAACGGTTGGTCGTAAGCTAGTGCGGTTTGAAAATTTGTTCTTAGATTTTTTTTTCCAAAACTTATTTTTGGGTCACACCCCGTTTAAGATTATCGATAGCAATGATTTAATTTGTTTTTAATTCGAATAATACTTGAAAGAAAAAATACCTAAATAATTTTTTGAAGTATTTCTACGTGAATGTCATTTCAAGTACCTACGCAAGTTTTAGTTAATACTAGCTTGACTCTGACTTCCGTGGAATTTGGTACTTGTACTTGAATTTGGGAAATTCAAGTCAATTTACTTGACATTTTAAGTTTAGAACAGCTCTGATCGGTGGATAGAATATACGATTCACATTTACTCAATTAGGAGCGCCAAAGTTAGATCTCGCTCCATCCTAAAAGTAACCTCGGGCCGGCACTGGTTGGGTAACAATCCCGGCTTCATTAAATTATAGGTTAATATCCTTTGCAAGATCTTTAATCGTATTGCAACTACTGTGGCCCGGCATATTTAAAAGGCGTTGGACGTAAAATCGCCAAGAGATCTCTTCGATTTATTTTCGCCTTTTCTATCGGATAGAATATTTTGTTTCGTCGAAATTCGAAAAAACGCAATTTCCAATTTTGGACAATCCTCATTAAAAAAACGGGGATTTTCTTTTGTAACTTCTTAAGGAGGCGTTGAACTGAAAATTGCCAAAAGACCTTTCAGGTTTTTTTTTTCCTTTTCTATCGGATAGAATATTCTGTTTCGTCGAAATATGAGAAAAGTCAATTTCCAATTTTGGGGAATCCCCAGTAAAAAAATTGGATTTTCGTCTGTAACTTCTTAAGGAGGCGTTGGTCGTAAAATGACCAAGAGACCACTTCGATTTCCTTTTGACTTTTCTATTGGATAGAATACTATATTTTGGCAAAATCTGAAAAAAGTCTATTTCTAATTCTGGAAAATTCCAGTAAAAAGTGTATTTTCGTCTGTAACTTCTTAAGGAAGCGTTGGACGTAAAATCACCGGAGACCTTTTCGATTTCTTTTCGCCTGCACTATTTTGTTTTGTCGAAATTTGAAAAAAATCAATTTCCAATTTTGGGGAATCCCAGTGAAAAAAGTGGATTTTCTTCTGTAACTTCTTAATAAATCGCACCCACATAAAAAAAACCATAATTTGCGATAAACAAAAATTAATATCCACAGAAACCTTTATTTTATCGGCACTTTTTCCGAAACAAATTTGTATTCTATGCACGACCCGGCATATATAGGTTGTCGAGTGCTTTTATAAAATATAGCAATTCAATTTCAACGTTTTGGACCCACTGAGGCGTAAAAAGGCATAGGGTATCTTTATATTTATTTATTTGTTTGGTAATCAACTATAACAACGTTAAACGAGTAAATATTGGGTACCATTATTATTTAGGTTAATTTTGTTCAAAACGCAGCTAAATTTGCCGATATTGTAAATGAGGGCACCTGCTACTCAAGTAGTTTCCATTACAAAAGACAGTAGGGAAGTGATTTTTCAATACATCTATTTTGACACGATTTTTAAAATTGATAAGTAGGTGTCAAAGTTCAGAAAGATACTTACTTGAAATGCGAAGAAAATACTTGTTTGGTACCAGTTGTAATTTTTTCCAGAATTAAAACGTCTTTGCCGTGCTCTTTCAATCTAACAGTGTTCGCTTCAACGTCCCTTAGGATCCTGTTAAAATTCTCTTTGTCGACCCGGAGGAAATGGCAGTTGTTCTCCCTCAGAACAATTGTAGCGGCCCTGTAAATAAGTTTGCGAAATAAAAACGAGAGCTGCTTCGAAGTTGGTTCGGATTATTGTATGAGGCATAAAATACAATTTAATTTGTCGGAATTAAACAGCATAATTTGACAAAATATTTCGTTTATATTGATAGTGGTTATCAAAATATTTTATTCAATTTCATAAATGAAAAAGGTCTATTTCGCGTGCATCCAATAAATTAACATTTTGCTTATTTTCTTGTATTATTTCTGGGTATACCATGCAGTTTGCGTTAATTGTTAATTTGTTTTCCGTTATTTAGTATCGACTGTTTTTCAGGCAAAAATAATAATTATTATCAATTTATGTTTGTTCAGTTGAGTAGGTACCTTGTGAACTGTATTTAATTTTTTTCATTCATTTTTGGATTTCCAATAAATTTGACGGAAAATAATTATACATATAAAAAACGATGGAGTCAAACTTTAATATTCTCACAATTCGATAATAAAAAAAGCAGGAAACAGATACGCAAATAATTATTTGCAATGCATGTTGAATGTAATTCAGTTGGTACGATAGAGGGTTTGCTTATACATTATTACAAATTCAGTGGATAGTGATCTTTTTAGACAGAAACGTTTCATGCTAACGTTAACGCAATAGTATTTACCTCGTAAAAGTAATTCCAAATTTCATGGAAAGATGAGAAACTTTATAATAAATGATCCTCTTACCTTGGCGCATCGTTTATCAGGGCAAGTTTTCCAAAGTCATCGCCTTCGTGGAGCGTATTCACCGTTCCTTTACCATGAATAACGACATCGACGGATCCTCTTACTATAATATACCAGGACCGGCCCTCGTCGCCTTGGTGGAACACTATAACATAATTTATGCAGAATAATTAAAATGTTTATTCAAAAAAACAAAATTAACGCAATATATTATAGGCTATTCAGGTTCGTAAATTTCAGGCTAAAGATTGCACAAGTGTTGAAAAACTAGGTACGTAAAGAGTATAAGAAAAAAACTGTTACGTTTATCTCATTGGGTAGCAAATAAATGTCTACTGGACGCTCAATAATACTTTGCAAAATATTCGATTTTTGTACATCTCAAGATGAACCAAATCTATTTCATTAGCCACCTGCTGAGTACATGTTATTTTAACATCTATTTCTCACATCTTGATCTAATCACATCAATCTTGATCTAATCAGGCCCAAAATGATAGCAAGTCTCAATACTCGCTAAGGAAACAACTTTCTCAATCATGTGCCCAAGAAGTTCTATTCAACTGGAATGAAATCAAAATCCATAAACCACCAACTGATAAAATTCGCCCAATGACATAAATAAATACTATTGCTATCTACTAACTGGTTCAGTTCGGAGTTGATTCCAGAGGGCAAGGCGACTCGGGAGTTTGTGGTGGGTGTTTGAATGTTGTTGTGAAGTGTTTGGGAGGTGAAGATAAGATCTCCTCTTGTTCTTCTATTTGGGAAGTTTTTCTTCATATTATGTAAGTCTTCTTCTACTAAGTTGCAAGCGTGTTGCTTTTCTCTGTACAGCTTCAAGGCTATTGCGGTCTCTAATGAGGTCCGGGTGCCAAGCTTGACCTGCATATTCTAGGATTGGCCTGCAATATAATGTTGTACAGTTTTTTGTAAACGCTTCTAAGGGGGTGTTTGGGAAAACCTTCTTTAGGAGGAATAACTTGCTGTTGGCTTTTTTGCATATTACATGTAATGACCAGGTCAAATCTTTGGTTATCAGAACTCCAAGGTCATTGTGTTGCTGAACACTAACCGGTACTGACCCATTGACGGTCTATGCATTTTCTTGGTTATTTTTCCCAAGATGAAGTACCACACATTTTTCAATATTACGGGGTAGTTGCCAGCCCTCACACCACTTCTCGATTTGATTTAAATCATTCTGGAGCGAGTCAGAATTATTGGCGGAACCATAAGTTTTTATGTCGCTGCACATGTTGATATTCTCAGGTTGAGGAGGTCTATAGTGTACTAAGTTACAAACAGCAGAGGTGCAAGTACCGAGTTTTGGGGTCGGCCATTTTGTACTAAATAGTGTTCAGAGTATGTTACCAACTCTGACTTTCTACTCCCTGTTTGTAAGATAGATAGATAAAAACACTTTTTTTGCTGAATCGCAATTATTAGTTTTAGCTCCTTAAACCACCCTCAAAGTAATTTGCAAGTCAAGTGAGGTTCCCTAAACGGGCTATATTGGTACTTCCTATAACTTCCAGTACCATTTCTGCCCGCGACTAGGGTGGAAATATTCATATTTTCATAAAAAGCCTTTTTTCGATGAATCGCGATTATTAGTTTTAACCCCTTAAACCACCCTCAAAGCAATTTGCAAGTGAAGCGAGGTTCCCTAAACGGTGTATATTGGTACCTACTTCCTATAACTTCTAGTACCATTTTTGCCCGCGATCAGGGTGGAATGTCCATATTTTCATAAAAACCCTTTTTTCGATGAATCGAAATTATTAGTTTTACCCCCTTAAACCACCCCCAAAGTCATTTGTAAATGAAGTAAGGTTCGCCAAACGATGTATTTTGGTACTACCTATAATTTCCAGTACTGTTCGTGCCCAAGACTAGGTGGAAATGTTCATATTTTCATAAAAGCCTTTTTTTCGATGTACCTATCGAAAGTTGAAAAAATTGACAGTCTTTGGTCCTGAGCAGTAAATCCCCTCTCACACCAAAATGATCCAGTGCCTCGGTCGAATGCTTTGGCAAAATCCAAGTATATGACATCAATGGGAGTTTTTTGATCTAATGCTTTTGTCCAGTTGTTAAGACAGTCAAGAAGGCAATTTGTGGTGGCAGATATTTTGTTCGTGACTTTACATCTTAATTTGTCTCCAGGAAGCGTAGACTTCTGTCGAAGGAAGCTATTTTCCTGGGTGTCAGTTGGCCCACTTCTTCTGGTGACAGTGTTGCCCCCTCAAGGAATTTGAGCCTCTTTCAGAATTGGGCTGGACATTTGCAGAGCAGGTGGTCTGCGACCTCTATTGCGTGATCGGGGTGACTGAAGCAACTATCCAAGCGGCGTAGAGCCTTTTTAACTTCAGTGACTTATTCATTATTTTGTACCAGGGGAACAGCAAGGTTGTTTGAGCACTTTTTGAGAACTAATAAGGATATTCCGTTCAGACCTGGAGAGCTGGCAACCTTCAGGGCTTTTATCTACTTTAGGATGTCTTGGGCTGTGATTTGGATAGTTGTGATTTCATTTGGTACCTTTTCGAAGTTTATTTGGGGATCTTCAGGAATTAATGCCTCCGTCGTGAATACTTTAGAAAACTCGTTTGTCAAGTTGGTGCGGCTTTCTCAAGATTATCTGTGCACCCCATTTGGATTTTGTAAAATAGAAATGCCTACTTTGGTGTTTAGCTGCAATCTTATGTACCTGTATAGTTTTTTGGGGCTGTAAAAGTTTGTAAAGCTGTCAATGTTTTATGTTAGAGTGTTGGAGAAGGTGCGATGTTCCCTGTAGTCGGTGGGATTGTTGGTACGTAAATACCTTTTCATAGGGCCCTTTTTCTAGTTCTTCTCCTACAGTCTCGGATGGGTTGTTAGTTATCCATGGTTTTAGGTTATTCACTCTTTTGGTTTTGTATTCGATGTTGCTATCTAATGTTGCTATGTAATATTGTGTGTGTAGTTCTGAGTGAAAGCTGGCCCATACATGATCTATAATCTCATTAGAGAGGATTTCTTCCCAGTTGATTTGTGATATATGATTTATATCTCCATAATTATTCATGTGTCTCACTCTATCTACTGTTGCTTTTGAATCTATGTTAATAATGTTTTAATAGTTGATGGTCTGATTTTCCGATGGGTGATAAGTGTTCATGTTTAGTGTTGACCCTCTCTGTAACGGATTGATTTGGTGATGATCTGGTGTAGACCTAAATTTGTTAGAGCTTCTCCTAAAAGGGCTGCCCCATCCATCAATAGATCTAGATCCTTGGTGGTTGACAACAAGGCATGTTATGTTATTCGTGAAGAGTTTTAATCATGTTTTAGAAGCGAATCATTTGGTCTGTACGTGCAAACTAGAACGAATAAAAGACTTCTAGATGTTATGCTCAATACCAGCATGTCAATGTTTCCACAATCAAAAAGTCGTTCGGTTGTTGTACTCAACTCATTGGTCGCCGAGTCGTTGCTCAGTTATGGCCCATCTGTCTAATACAAAATATTCTTTTGATTTCCAATATAGGTAATCAAAACGTGTGGGCCAAAATGTACAATAACGATCTCGAACAGTATTATTCCATAAATTGACAGTTTCAACATCTGACATCAACTAATGTGCCGTTTACTTTTCTCTATGGGCCTAAAAGAATCCTTTTATGATAGATTTCTAAAAAATGTAAACAAAAGCGTTTCCCGACGTTTTTTCAAATTTTTCATGGACTCAGTCTATCAAATTTTTATCTGTGTTTTGGGACACAAACGTCCATAAAATTTTTTTTTATAATTCTGGATCGTTTCAATGTTTAATGGGCATCAGATTAGAGCTATTAGGAATAATGGATTTTTTATTTTCTTTGTCCACTGAACTGAACGGGGTCAGTCTTCACATGCCGTACACCTATAAAGGCTTCGCGTATCTATTACTTTAAGATCTTTATTGGCGGTAAAACACATTTCAAAAGTGAAATAAAAAAAATCACTTACACACAGTTCCAGCTTTCGGGTGCGCTTCGAAAACTATAACGCTGGCAATTTCTCTTTTTACCGAATTTGACAGATGAGTTACTGCACGTATGTGCAGCAGCTCCTCGTAAATTATTTCCAAGTCTTCAGCAGTACGCTCGTGGCTCCTAAAAAAAAATAAAGTATTTTAAAGGTTCTGTCTGTTTGTTGGCCTTTAAAATAATTATAATTAAGGTTCATTAAGTAGGAGAAAGTAATTTCCATAAAACATCCGACAAGCGTACCTACTTCAGTAATTAGCATTTTTTCAACATTCTGAAGAGGACTTGCCCTTTTTAAATAAACACTGGCCTTTGTCGTTTCGTTCGCTCCAGGGAATAACTCAAATATATTATTTCTTGTTATCTCAAAGCAAAGAATTTTTAGATGAAAGCGAGTTTGTATCAAGTTGAATTGAAAATAATCAATTAGTAGCAAAATCTCAGTAAAACTGATAAACATTTATTTATGTTATTGTGATAATAAATTAAGAATCAATTTTAGAGTGTTTAGGTCGTTATCGGTTGAAGATAAGTTCTACGTACTGTTTTCTCATAATCATTCGCAGGTAAGCGTCTGGTCCCCTATTTATCAATGTTCCCAAGTTGTCCAGCAACTGGTCCTCCGCCGATTCAATGTCTTCCGATGATGGCAAAGCTCCCGTACCCTCTTCATCTTGCCAAAACCGATACACGAAACATTTATCTTTGAAGGCTTGCTCTTTACTAACTGGAACAAATTAGGAAAAAGTCAACCCGATAAGTTATGTTAGTTTTTGGAAATTTTGTCAATTTAGGTAGGTATATTGTCTTTAGATTATCTAGGCATCATTTACGCGTTTCGTCCTTATTTGGATTCATCAGAAGTAATCAGAAGGAAATATATTCTGCAAAATTCTGTGAAGTGTTAGGAATAATTGTAAGAAACTTCACGAGAGTTGTAGTAATATCGTTTTGGTAATAAAAGCCTACAGTATTAAATTAAATTTTGTATTCAAATAATAATAATTATCTACTTACTGAAAGCAACAAACCGTGTATCATCATTCTAGAAATAAGCTCAATTTATTTTTTGCTTCCAAATATTCCCGCAGACTCATTTGAAAATGTTATAATTTGAAAATGGAAAAATCAAGCTTCCACAGGATTAAATCTTTATTAAGTTAAAAATATTCGGAGATAAGAAATACGGCTTTCCTTTACGTCTTCATCTCGTCGCCCCAGTAATTCTTTGTGTTTTTTTATAAATCTCCTTTGGACACGAAGCTGTCGTTCTAAAGGGAAAATTATTTTTATAAAAGAGTATTTGCAAGAAATAATTATCTCTTGTGTTATAATTTATTAATTGTAAAACTATTGTTCGCTTTTATTTTGGTATGTGTAATTACTTTACCATTAAGTGTTGGTCAATGTTATCAATAAGACTTCTTATATTTTCACGCCACTTTTGGTTTGCATCTAAATTCTTGTATCGAAAGGAAAAGTACTGGCTACGCCCATAATAAAATATGAAAGGGTATTTGGTTTTGAAAAAGGGCTGTGAGAGTTTAGTTTTTAAGCGACCACTGAAAAAGCAAAAGTTAATAAAGTTATGAATCAACCTTTTCTTTATTGTGTTTTCTTACACTTGAGAAATGGTATAATCGTCACGAGATTAGAAAGATTCTTAATAATTTTTTTCTTTGTTAAATCAGGAACATGATTATCTCTATTTGTATCCTGGACCCGATGTATCCTGAAACAGGACCCGGAGGAAAATATTGTTATAAGAATTAGAATAAACATGGGAAGAAAACGAGAACCGTAGGGCTCTATTTTGGGTCTACCCATTATTTCTTATCTTTATTAATGGCCTGCTTAACATGGACATTGAGCGATATCTACTTCTCTTTGTTTGCAAACGAAACAAGTATTTTCTGGCAATGATGTTGATGTTACAGTTGCTTTGTTTATGAAATTTGATATTTTTTATAATAAAATTTTATTTTATTTTATTTGAAATAAGGAAAGAATCATATTATTAGAATCGATAACCCTTTATTTTCGCGATAAGGTGGTATGTATTTAATATATTATTATAAGCTCAGTTTCGTGTTTTAATCATCGGACACTGTTTTCGTCTTTTTCACTTTGTTGTTCATTAGAAATTAATCGCACAATTAGAACACTTGGTACCTAGTTTGTTGTTTGTGGTTTGTAGGTTGGATTAGTACACCCGGGAAGGATATGGTAACTGGGGAGTAAGAACCACTATTGGATTAATACTGATTTTTATTAAACAATTAACAACTATTTATAAACAAAAAATGCAATTTTGACAAACGTCAGAGGGACAATGATAATTAATTAAAAAGAATAAATCGCTGACAAAATCTGTTTCATCTAGGGAATTCTTGACTTTCATGTAGGTTACTGCTCCATATGCCTTTTCGGAGGCATCACAAAAGCCATGTAGTTCCAGGTGACTGTTTTTCACTTGGTAGGTCCACCTGGATATAGGAATTTTCTCGACACTCTTTAGTTCTGTTCAGAAAATTTCCTATTTGCTCTCAATGAAGAGTGGCCCAGCCACAGGATCATCCCATTTTAAATCTTGGATAAGGAGCTTCGCTCTGATGATTATTGAAGCTAACCATCCTAGTGGGTCGAATAACTCAGCAACCTCTGAAAGAATGCTCCTTTCAGTAATGTTATCACTGGTCGATATTTTAGTTTTGAATCTACCTAGAGACTTTCTTATGTCATCTTCAGTTATTTCCACAGCTGATTGATCTTTAAGTTCATTTGGAGGTTTTTGTAGTAACTCTCGTTTGTTTCTGGACAATTTTCGCAACGTGAACTCTCCTCGTTGAAACATTTTGATGAGTTCGTCTTGTAGTGATAGAGCTTCTTCTATAGTGTCAGCATCGGAGAGCAAGTCGTCGACATAAAAATCTTTCATTGCTGCTTTGAATCCATTCGGAAAGTTGCATCTCTCGACTTGGGCAAGCTTTTGTAATGTTTTAATAGCTAAGCATGGTGCTGTTGTCGTCCCATAGATTACAGTTGTTAAGCAATATTCATTAATTGGTGTGTTATTATCAAATCTCCATAAGATTTTCTGATACTTCAGGTCATCAGCATGAATCTTTATCTGCCTGTACGTTTTTTCAATGTCAGCTGTTATCACTACCTTTTGTGACCTCCAGCGTAGCAGTATATCTGACAGTTCTGACTGTAGTCTGGGTCTTGCATACATGGTATTGTTCAGGCTCAATTCTGATAAAGTTTCACCTGAACCATCAAAAACCACCCTTAACTTTGTCGTAGTAGTGGATTCTTTGAATACCGGTTTATGTGGGATAATATATTGATGCTGTAGTTCTGTATGTGGAAGCATTTTCATGTGACCAAAGAATCCATTCTAATTCTGTTTGTTGTCCAAGGACGATTGCTTGATATTTTTTGGGAATACCCATTCATCGCTAAAAAAAATCAACTCAAAGTCTAATGCGGAATATTTCACGCCAATCTTCGAAAGTCGAAGGCGTGCGAAAACTACACGACTTTTCTTTTGAGCCCCTTAAAAGAGGGCCGGAGCATTTTTCAAGAAATCTCAGGAATCTCTGCTTGGCTATATTTGAAGCCCCGGAGACCCGTGTTCTATTGGAAATCCTAAATAATCAAGACGCACCGAAGAGAATTTTCCGGCGCGAAAGTTTCTTCTTTTAATGACATACTTGAGTGGCTTTGTAAGTAAAAGTTTTATAAGTTTTAGACCAATAAAAAAATAACGAATTGAATTTATATAACTTTTTTGTTTACTTCGCAAATTGCAACAAATGTCTAGGGTTTGATTGTATAAATAAATCTAAAACTTTCTTGGAGTATTTTTTTAATAGACTTGGTATCCTTGGCTAATTCAGTTTCAACGTTTGATGTTTATCAATGCTCCGATTGTATGATCATGCAAATTTTATATTCCGGAAACAGACATGACATGAATTGTTATAATCCTTTTGTACCTCTACCTATTAGGAAGTCACGACCATCAAGATCCTTTCATAAGCACACGATTAATCATCCGTCTCTTTTTTGTATGAAAACCAATTCATAAATTATTTCATAGAAATTGTTTAGTGGATTATATTTAGACCATTTGCTTTTTGTATCGTGAACTGTAATGAAAACGGTAGCGTACTGATAAATAACGGATCTGAAAGCGTTTTGAAGCAGACGCTTATTGGATATTCCCGATTTAGTCACAACTTTGCCATAATCACACGTTAAATCCGATGGAATTGGAACGAAAATGTAGGGCCCATTTTCCATTAAAATATTTCAAGTTTCTTCTTCTCGAAGGCTTCTTATTGCGTACTTTCACAAAATTATTTATTTTATTTTTTTTAATAAAGACATATTGAAAGGCAACCCGCTAGTAAAATATTTGCCTAATTCTTTGCCTATACCTTTCTTAATTTTCGGTTAATAAGACGCGAAAAACCTAACTGCTAAATTAATTATGCAAAGAAATTTTCCAACGCAAATTTAAGCCGGCCTCAATTAGCACGTTAGGCTCGGTCTGTACTTAGAAAAGTTTGAATTTTATACGGAAATTGAATAATTCAAATTGAACTTGTCAACCCATAACTCATTTACTTAGGATATTCATAAGGTCTTTTTTTTTCAGAAAGACGCTATACCTGCAACAACTAGAATACAAAACTCAAAGTTGTTTTATTTATGTATATAAAATTTACTTTTAAAGGTCTAAATTTATACACTCCCCACGTAATTACTTTAATTAAGTTAAGGAATGTAATAAGGAATAATAATAATAATCCATCCAGAAAATTCTTCCGCGACATACATTATGGCTTGGCGAGTTCTTTTGTTTCGCACGTGACCTGATAAGCAATATAATGAGAGCGTGCTTTCTCGATTTGAGGGACTTAAATTTTGCATACTGGCGAATTTTGCATACTAGCGTGCAGTTATTCTCCGAAATAATTTGCATATGCAAAGCAAGGTACATTAGGCACATACATATGAAAAAGTTTTCACTTCCTTGGATTTCTATGTTTCTTTCATGTTTTCTCTTATCTATCTGTGTGTGTACCGATCACTCTTAAAACCTAAAAGCAATTTTAGATTCACGTTATGTTCAGGTGTTTTCCCAGCTGGTCTCCTACAAATGGAAAAGAATTCGCGGCGCAGTTTGAGCCTCTTTTTTTGTTTACACAAAAGCCAGCCATCTTACCAATTTTAAAATTTCTGATAATAGACTTTGGATTGAGATTAAAATCGTCAAGATGAAGTAAAAAATTTTCGCTTGACGTATTCATCCAAGCTGATTGAAAATGTGGAATTCACCTATCAATAGGTTTTTTTCCCCTCAAAATACCTTATAAGGTATATCGATATAGCATGGCGTGGTTTAGGAATACTTCACTTTATATTCGAGAATGTGCTGCAAGATAATATTCATATTTCCCTTGGGATCGTTGGTGCCTTGGTGTATTTTAACGGAAATATTATCGTATAAGCTTTTATGACGAGTGGGTGAGTTTATTGGGCTAGAGCTTTTGATTAATGTAGGTTCAAATACATAATAAATTTCAAAATGCACACAACAGACCAATAATTTAATTCTTGGAGATACAATCGAACTTCAAATTGGGGTGCTACAGAACTTACATCTACGTCTTATTTCCCTAGGCTTGAATGTGTATGGAAATCCTCTTCTTGGAAAATACAAATTTCTACTGTAGGCTTTGCCTCCAAGATATTATCTGATTTATTTTTAATTTGTCACTTTTATTATATTTATTGGCACCTGTGTGGATTGCGTGGACCAGCAATACAGAAAAAGGTACCTAGTTGACAGAGTTGTCCCAGAGACAGATAATTTTTATAAGTTGTCACAATTTTTCACAATTAAAAATGGATATTACAGATTACACAGTGAGCTTTCATTAAAGATATTTATTAAATCTCGCTAAGGCCTCCTACACTACTAACAAAGCATGATTTAATAGAAAAACTTTTTCAGTTTCCTAGGTTCAGGATAAACTTCACAAAAATCACAGTCCCGTAGCATTTACTTTGTTTAAAGCGACTATTCCTAAAACAAAGCACACTGGAAATGCATGGAAACTGGAAAGTCACGGAAAATATTATCTGCTTCAAACGAGAGTAATTGAAAAGTGTATGTGTTTGCTCTTTATTCAAGAAAGAACTTTATTTTTTATACTTCAATGATAATTAATAGCTAACTTAATTGAAGCATTTATAAAACTCACGATTATAAAATTTCCATGGCACGGAATTTCCATTAGGTTCCTTAAAAATTTCTATTTTTAATAGGCTTTGAATTTTAATTTTATTAAAATGGGGCGAAAACGTCCCTCCACTTTCCGTCAACTACTTAGTTGAATTTCAAGTTTTCAATTTTAGTTTAAACATTCAAACTTATCTAAAGTTATCCTATTAATGATTTTTATTATATGGAAGTTGAGGAAATTTTGCATTTTTGATCTAAATTTTTAGGGAAATTTTTGATAATACTTACTATGTGAGATAACGCCTTCCTCCAATAAAGCCTGCCACATTCCCGCAGCTTGGGCTCTTGAATGTAAACTGGGCGATAATTCCATCAACCAATCTACCAATTCCATTCCTGGAGCACATCTTCTGACCCACCGTCCTGATACTTTTCGATCTTTCAAGCAAGTATTTCGTGCTGTAAATGAGGGATTTATCCACTATTGGTAAACATAAGTATTGCTGCCTAGATTAATCCATTCCATGCTTTTCGTGGGAACAAAAACAATACAAACAACCAATCCTAAGGCTGGACCTAGTAGCTCACCCTAGGATAAAACGAATACAGTCTCCAACCGTCATAGGCGAAGCAAGAGAATCTGCGAGGCAGGGGCCAAAAGAAGACAGAAGGCACGCCGATGAGAGCAGTGCCCCTTTCCTAAGTCCACGGGCGGTGACGCCAGTTCCACCTCCGCAAGAGGACCGGAACGCGTCCCCCCTAAGAACAAAAAAATAATTACATCGGGGACGTCCAACAAGGAAACTCCGGACAAACGCAAGAGGCCAGGTCAGGTGGTCCCCTGGTCACTGCCAACAGAAGCTACAAAGATGCTGCGAATAGCCACCTGAGTAGCAATTATTGACAAGGACAACCTTTACGGCAAACTACCTAAAAAACACTCCACTAAAGGAACTGGCCACCTCCAGTGGAGATAGTAAGCCACCCACGTTCACGTTGTGGACATACACGATGACGGCGTATCGTTGGCCTGGCTCAAAGAAAAACACAGACTCTCAGCGGACGGTCAGTCGGCATAAGCCTGGAGGTGGTGACGATGGATAAACTGCCAAGGCTGACGAAAGCCACTCTATGGATACTAGGTGAGGTTGTGATACGTACTTAAAACAAAGGTCATCGAGGCTGAGCTACGGGTTCACCTCGCTAACCATAAAATTAAAACCAGAAGGTAGTAAGAAGGAGGAGGAGCCATCTGTGGCTGCAGGCACCGACAAAAGTGAAGCTGCTGTCGGACTGCGCAAACAGAACTGCGTCATCTTGCCTGAGAAGGCTAGCGGCACGGAGGCCATGGATGCAACCAAGATTCTCTCGGATACTCTCCTCGAGACATCGTCGACAGCATCCACCTCCAGCAACGATACCATCACGAATATCTCCCCTCTTCTAGAGGACGAGGTATAAAAGTCAACCGTCACCCATCCACCAGCATCGAGCTTGAGGAAGCGGCTAATAAGGTAAATTTTGTTCAGTGTAACCTGCACCACAGTAGGGCGGCTTCGGCAACCTTATGCCGCTACCTGGATATGGCGCAGGACACAATAGCACTTAAAAACCTTGGATAAGACAAAGTAAAATCATAGATTTAAGCACACAAACTGGTCGAGTTTTCAGCAATCCCAGCAATAACAAACCTAGGACGGCCATCTATTGTTCCAGGTCATACACAGCCCACCCACTGACATAGCTATGTACGTCAGACCTAACTGCCGTCAAACTGATGCAGAACAACAGTGGGCAAAATAAAGCCATCGTCTTGCCTTCAGTATATTTCCCCACAGATGCTGAGACGCTACCACCCAACAGGAACCTTTTAGAGCCGGCCAGGCACTGCCAGAACCACGATCTGGAGCTGGTGATTGGGTGTGACTCCAACTCGCACCACATCAACTGAATACGTCAGGATATAGATCCAAGAGATAAGTCTCTGTATGACTTTATAATAGGTCATGATCTGTTCATATGTAATAACGGCACAATACCAACGCTCTTAAACTCTCTTAGTCAAACTGTAATAGATATAACACTATGCTCAGTATTAAAATCAAATTCAATCCATAACTGGCGTGTATCTGATGAAGTTTTTATGTCGGATCACCGATGGATAACTTTCACATTAAAGTGCTCGCCTAAAACCACAAGACCTTATCGTGACCCAAGAAAAAACAATATTGCACAGTACGTGTAAGGTCTGCAAAGGACTCTAGGAGAGGTTGCAGTTAAAACACCTAATGATGACTAAGAATGGGAGCGATATGACAATACCATCCAAGGTGCCATCATAAAATCCTATAAGATGTCGAGCCCACTGGAGATGTTCCAAAACTCTAGTAACAACTCTGCTTGGTGGTGTCAGGGACTGAAACACCTCAGTGCGACGACAAGAAAAGCTTAAAAAAAACACCAAACTACCTGAGGATTGGAACCTTTATAGGTACCAAGTCAACCAGTACAAAAAAGTCGTACGACAAAAACAAAGAGATGACTTGAGGACATATTGCAACGAGATAAAAAAACTATACGGAAGTGGCGAGACTTCAGAAAACTCTCACTGCCAATCTTCAAGAAAGTACAGAGTACTAGCAACCCACTTTCCTGACTCCACAACCACAATTGTGGAGGATCAGACGCAGGTAACATACATACCCTGTGTGGCTGATTGGAAACTAGCGAATCAGATAATATACGAGGGCGTCGTTGGCGTTGAGATACATACCCAAGGCTTGGAGAGAAGTTAAAGTGGTGTTCCTACCCAAACCAGGGAGGATGGACTACACTACTCCCAAGGCATATCGCCCCATAAGCCTCTCAAATTTTTTTCTAAAAACAATGGAGATGCTATGCGAAAAGTACATAAGGGATGAAGTTGTCAACCGATCTACTCCACCCTAATCAACATGCAAACACTCCCGGGAGATCAACGGACACAGCCCTCTATCTGGTAGCTCGGCGAGTGGTGAAGGCGCTGGACAACAGAGAGTCCGCCTTCAGAGTTTTCATCGAAATTGAGGGAGCCTTTGACAAAACCACCTTCCAAAAAATTAGCCACTCGCTAACAGAAAGGAATACTCCGGAAACTGTTACCAGATGGATATTTGATAGCCTTTCCAAAATAATTGTACAGATAAGTGTGTAGGACATCAACATTAAAGGAATGGTCACAAGAGGCTGCCTGCAGGTAAGCGTACTATCACCTCTCCTGTGGAACATGGTTCTGGACAGCCTCATTGTCCGCCTAAACAATAACAACCACTACACAATAGCTTACGCAGATGACGTAATCATCTTGCATGGAGGCAAATTCGAGAATTCGCTTTGCCAACGCATGCAATATGCTTTTCGAATTATAGAAAGATGGTGGACGGAATACACTCTGTCCATCAGCTCCAAAAAGACTAAAATGGTTTTATTCACAATTAAGAGGAAACTGATACTTCCGACAGACTCAGACTCTTAAACACCGAATTAAGTTTTGCCGCCAAGGTCAAATATCTGCGAGTGACATGAAACGTGCATGGAACTCTCATATTGCTGAGAGAATACATAAAGCATATATCGCCTATGAACAGTGTAGACGTACTATCGGTACGTAAGACCTGGGGGTTCTCCTCCAAGGCTCCAAGGTAGTTATGTAGATCTATACAACCATCATCAGGCCTATGCTTACCTATGGGGCTATTGTCTGGGGACATGAGGCCGAACAGACGATTATAGGCCAAAAACTAGATCACGTTAAAAGAATGGCATGCCTCAACATAACTGGTGCAATGAAAACCACACCAACTAGGGCTTTGGAAGTAATTTGACGCCCCTGGATACTTATGTCAAGGAGGTCGTTTTAACCACAATGATGAGCTTCCGCATTGTTGAATAGAACCAAGTGCAGAAGTCGGTTTGCAGAGAACCCACATATGGCGTGAGGCAAATAACTCACTTCCACTGTTGCAGGCCAGAGTGGACTTTGCAACACCATGTTTCGTCTTCAAAAAACACTACGCAATCAACACTAAAGGCATTGGAAACATCACAGTGGCAGGGGTGAGTAACATCTACACTAATGGTTCCAAAACTCAAATTGACTCGGGATGCGGAGGTATACTCCAAAGCTCTCAAACTGAATCTAGCTATAGCCTTTGGCTCCATGCCTAATGTTGTTCAAACGGAAATTACTGGCATAATCATCGCGGCCGAACAACTAGTCAGCAACAATATCACTGACAAAATTGTGCACATCCACACGGATTGCAGACAAGCTGTACTAGCGCTTTCTAGACTGCGACTCACGTCAGAACTAGTACAACATTGCCATTGTACACTCACCGAAACGTCGATCAACAATACAGTGGTAGTCAGCTGGATCAAAAGACATGATCACAGCAAAGGCAATCAGGCTACCGATGCTTTAGCTAGAAGGGCCGTCAGGCTACAGCCTTCTAGATCAGAGCCCTTCGTAGGGCTGACCATGTCGGCGGCCAGAGATATAATAAAAAAACGCTCCCATACCCTTTTAAAAAAGCGCTAGGACGATACAATTGGCTGCAACTTATCCAAGGAACTGTTAAGTTACCCAGATAAAACTGCAGCGAGCCAGAAGCTGTCGTTGACCAGGAAAAGGCTACGCCTAATAACGGGCATTTTGACTGTCCACTGTCAGTTAAACAAACATTTGTTTAGATTGAGTCTCAGTACCACATCCCTGTGTAGGGATTGTAATCAAGAAGACGAGACGATAGAGCACATTCTTTGTGAATGCACCGCTCTTTCGCAAATACGCAAAGCCAGATTAGGCCAATCGTACCCATCGCTAGAAGAGATCAGAAGCACCGCCCTCGGCGACGTCATCACCTACGTGGAATCGCTAGGGTGGATGACGAGCTAAGGATGACCTCTCCGCTTGTGGAGGCGCACAATGGGCCTAATGTGGCCTAAGTGCGGTGGCATGCCATACCACCCTCCCAAACTTACAGATATAGAGATAACCCATTCCTAAAAAACTCGCTTAAAAACTTATTTAATCTGGAAGGAGAGATGAGTTGATGCAACATTGTTAATTTTAGGAAATAGCTTTAGGGCTAATAAATATTTCATTTCATTTTACTACTAACTCATTTCCAGCAGCAAGAAAATTTTGGATGGAAATTTCTAGACATCAGCTTCAATGTCCGAAAATAACACGCAGTACTTTTACGCCACATTTGAAATCAAAAATAAAATACTCACACAAAAGCAAAGTCCTAAAAGTCCATCCGATCCGCCCGATCAATTGACTAGGTTGATCTGTTATCGGTTCGGCTGGATTCGGCTGGTCAGGTGACAGCGATCGTCTGGGTGGCGGCGATGCTGATTGGCTGATGCCTTTTCCAGCAAGCCCAGAACCAAATCCTGAAATTATAAAATTGAATTAAAAACTATAGTCTTCCGTTTAATCTGAAATTCCATAAAATTTCTTTTTGCTGAATTCCAAGGACAGAACTGAAATGGCTTGCGGGCTTGTTCGATTAAATAATAAAACGCAAATAACGATGCAATTTCTTCCGCATGCAATAAATATTTTACAAACCTTCGTTTTTATTTGAATTTAGCAACTTGAATTTGGAATTAGATTTACAGACTTGTGAAACACTATGGTCTTAATCAATGGTATTACAGAATTTCCTCGTCTTAGAATTTAAACGGCTAAAGTGCAACTACATAAATTTTCACTATCGCATTAAGAGGTAATGGCCACGCAAAAGAAACCAGAAACTCAGCATTGGGATTTTGGGAAAGGAACAAAATACGAACTGGACTGCTGTAAATTAACACAGAGCAATTCTCGGCCATACCAGAATAATTAATTTTGGTGGATTAATTTGCCGCCTTGAATACGCTCATTTCTCTTGAGGCACTTCAGTTTTTGTATAGGATCGCCCTTTTTTTGTATGGATTATTTCAGTAGGATAGAAACCTAATGTTTTATTAGGTAGCTTCAGTCAAACTACGATTCAATTACTTGTTCACTTGTTTGAAAATTATGTGGGGAATTGTCTAAATTATTCAGAACTTGGGATATATTATGGTGAAATTTGAAAAAGATTAAGGTTAGGTACCTCAGAATCCAATTACTACTAAATATGATAGGCTATTTGAAATCCAACAGTAGCAGGGACTTTTTTCAGGCTACTAAGGTGGTATACGGACCAATCACTCGAGGCAATCTCTTACGATCCAAAGATGGCAGAAGAGTGCTTGAAGACAGTTCTTCCATTAATTCTCGTTGAAGGGAGCACTTTCAGGAACTATACTTAACAGAGAATCACGAGTTGATAATGACATTGGAGATGTCGAAATTTCACAGAAACAATACGGCAACATTATGGCAAAGTGCAACGTCGATACCTGCAACTGGAAGTCGACAGGAAATGATAGACCATCATGGGGTGGAGTAGTCTACGACGGGCCACACATTTTTGAAGAACGGCGACGCAGACACGAAACCGAAAAAAAGGACCTCAGACCGAGAGAACAGAGGAATAGGCAATGCTGCCAGATACTAGGTGCGCCAAGACTGTGAGCTTAGAAATATTCCTCTACAAAATTTTCACTCAATACATTTGGACTTCTCTTATCCTCAATCACTATAGCTCTTTTCACGTGGCTCCGGTTTAACAAACCGCAACATACCGCTCAAATTCGAGTGGTATCGACAACGTCACTTTATAACCGGGTTAGGAAACGGTATGTCATTTCTCTAACCACCTCGGCGATATGGTTACCTTTAACGGTTACAACAAAAAAAATAGAGAATTTGTAAACTACGGAAAGCGGGAAATTTGTCACAGGTGCAAACTTAAATATAAAGTTGTGTCTTGTTGATATTATTTTAAAGTTTCTACCTACCTGATCAATTGACGCACATGGAAGCAATTAAAGTTAAAATAAAAAATAGGAACATTTTTTTTCAAGATTATATAGGTACGTGATATTTTGCTGCAGTTACTAGAGGGCACATTAACCTATTATAAATATTGACTGGCCGTTGGATTGCCTAATTTAAAATAACATTTTCCCAACCATTCGTTTTCAAGTGGCATTTTCAATGACATTTTCACTTGACATACCGCTACTAACCGTTTTGTAACCCGGTTAGTTTGAACCGGAGCCACGTGAAAAGGATTTATGTATATTTATGCTTGTTATTGTATGTTCGAACTTCATGTCTTGGAAATAACTTTGTTCAGGTTTATTTACGAGTAAGATCCTTTTAATAGAAAAAGTTCATGGTGCAGGAGAAAATTCAAAAGCATGTGGATCTTGCTCTATTTAGATTGAAGCTTGGCTTTGAAATTTCTCATGACGATCATAATATATTGTGTCTTGTCTGAGACAATGACCTCAGATTCAAATCACTACTAAATATGATAGGGTATTCAGAAAAATCATCTTCTTCTTCTGCTTCATATTGAGATGACAAGGGGTTTAGAAGACAACATTCTGGATATCTGATTAAAGTTATCTTTAATTCCCTAAAAACATGCTTTATGGATGATCAAAAAAAGAATCATCTTCAAATAGGTACTGAATTTAAACATTATCGTCATCATTGCAACTAAATAATAATTATTTTCTAAGGCCCAGTCGGACATTGGCATTTTCCCATTTTTTGAGTAAGCGAACCCTCCAAAAGGGGAGAAAAACTACTCTTCCCCTTAGTAATAGTTCTTCTCTCTAAATGATATTCCGACATTTGGTGAGTAATTATTATGATCAGATCTAACAAATTATCCAACAAATCCTAATGAAAACGCAGTAGGAGGTCCTACAAAAATTCACAAGTGATGGTGGCGTGCTATCAACCCAGAAATGATGCAGTTGACTCCCACTTCTTGTAGAACCAAATTAATAATAATTATTGTCTAGGTATTTGTGTTACAAAGCACAAAACGTTCAATAACGACATATATTCAGTTCATTTATTCCCAATGATTGAATTATGATCTTTTTCAAATAAATAACACATAAAACTAATTTGTTTTCAAGATAATGGGTGAAAAATTGTTTTTTTTCAATTTTTAATTCTCACTCTTTAAAGTAAATTGAGTGATTTTGTTAAAGACTCAATCTAGAAATCTAATTAATATCAGGAAGGGAAAATTCTATAATAAGCAATTTCAAGTTCAATTAAAACTTGCGGAGGAGTAATCAGTTGTTGTCGCCAACGAAAAGGTTAAGCTTATAATGGAAAAAAAAATATTAAAATCCAAACAAACTATTTTTCAACCGTTTATAAAAGAGCTTTCGATGTTTTAAAATATCGAAAAATTTATATTGAACACAATCACATTGTTGTTGTCAATTAAAAAACCCATCAGGAACAACAATATTTTTGCAGGAAGCGATGAACGAAACAATAATGCAATTCGTTAAATTAACCAAACATTTTTGTTTCGCCATTGTACCAAAACACACAAAGTAAAATGCTACTCACCATTTTTCAATTTGTAGTTCGAGACGAAATCGTTCATGAGTTCCTTGTTTTTCTGAAAAGCACAAACACAATAATTAAGAAACTTATCCATTGCATAGTTAAACTAATGATCTTTTTGTTTTTGCACTGAACAAACACCCACTGCATAATTTGTTTTGAATGTCGTTGAGTGAAGTTGCGCCGCAAACAAATACATTTAAAAATAGAAACAATTCACATTTTGATTGGCTAGTGCATTGAACTTCCGAATCGCAACGATACGAGAAGGTTCAATTCATTTTAAGACTTTAAACTCTAAGAAATGATCCTTGGTTTGCTTATGAAATTAATTATTTCAATATTGAATAATTTATATTCGATTAGTTTTATAATTTTATTCTAGAGTTGTTTAAATCAAAATTATTTCCTCCTTAACATAATGCAATGTGTTCTAATCCTGGCACACCTTACTTGTTTGGGACCCTGGAGGACTTAAGTATAGTACAGTATAGTATATTTTATGCAATCAGCTACTTTAATATATAATAATAAATGCGCTACAACCCATATACTTGTATGGGAGACTGAGCCGCAAGTCGAATAATAGCTCTAGAACCACCAGTCAGTGTACTCCTTCAAAGTGTCTATTAAGGGCGCAAGCGAGAAAATATAGTACCGGTCTCTGGTCTGTTTGATATACAGATGAATCGAAAACAGAGCAAGGGACTGAAACAGGAGTATACGGCCCACTTTGTAGACTGTCAACAGCCCTAGGAGAACGCCCAACCATATTTCAAGCTGAAATACTTATTCGCAATAGAACTTTGCGCTAGAACGTGTCTCGTAAGAGACCTGTTAAGAGCGCGAAAATCTATATCAATTCCGATAGTCAGGCAATACTAAGAGCTCTGAGAAGCTCTGTTACTAAGTTGAGACTGGTATGGGACTGCCTATAACTTTACCCTGTCATGGGTACCAGGGCACCAAAAAGTCGAGGGGAATGAAAGAGCGGACCAACTTGCAAAACAAGGAGCTGCAACACCATTCCTTGGACCAGAACCTTTCTTTGGCATTAAGAAAAGTCATATAATAGGGGAAGTCCAGAATTGGATAAAGGCTCAACAAGCCTTCTTTCGACAGTCGAAACAATTTATCTCGCCGTAAGTCAATAAAGGAAAATATAAAATAGTAAAGCAGATCTAAGGCTGCTTACAGGTTACTGCCCTCTGATCTGGAAAAGATGGGCAAAACAGAATCAGACCTATGCCGCTTCTGTTGAGAAGCCTCTGAGTCTGCGGAACACATACCTACTTTGCAAGTATGAGACATAAACTGCTTACGGAAACACTGATCTAGTTCGATCAGTATCAGCTGTTCAAGGATTAGTAAACTATCCAGGTGAAGCTAGTTTAGTTTCCGAACGGATGGATCTGCAAATGAATTTTACCAAATAACACCTCCCAACAATCCTAACCTCAACAAACATTATTTTGATTTTCCGATTTTAATTTTAATCTCAAGTACTCAAATTTCCATTTTTCGGCTTCTTGCTGTTGAAGATGTCTGCCACATTTATTTTAACAGCAAAACAACAAACAACTAAAAAGTTGGGCTAAGAAAAACAGCTGACGGCTACCAATCCTAGCCGTGTTTGATTTTGTCAACTTTTTCGTCGATTTGCTCCGAAATTGACAGGCACGTGATTTGTGAATTGAAACTGTCTGATCCAGTCACGAGCCTGTCAAAATTTCGGAGAAAATCGACAAAAAAGATGACAATAGCGAACACGGCCCCTATGCACCCCGCATTTTATCAGGGTCGATGAAATCCAAACATATGATACTGAACCGACCAACCGGATCACTTTCCGTACGAGCGTGAACTGATCCTGGATCCCTTTCCGTACGTTGAAATTGGTAATCCTTGTGATCGGGTTAACCCGATCATAGTTTCCGTAAGCAGCTTTTGTGTCGCAGAAGACTCATCTATCTGGAACAGCCGTACTTAACGGGTGTGGATGTCAAAAGAAGCCAATCTCAGAAACATTATAGGCTTTGTCAAAAGCCTTAATCTGGGAACTCAGTAGATAAAAGGGGAACCAGAATAGATCCAATCAGGTCGCATTGCGGAGAGGTTCATAACCTAAACAAACACCCCAACCATCACAATCTACAATATACCATCAGTCAGTGTGAAAATTTCGATGTTCCAAAGCATAGCTCTACGCGTTATCACCGATCTTTTACTAACAACTGTGTGAATTTTTTTGTAATTGGACAAGAATAGGAACAAAAAAAAGAAGAAGAATATTTTGCAACAACAAGAAGCCATACGACTGCAAGAAAACAGGAAGAAGGAGACATGCCCTGAAATATGCCTCAGCAAGATTAGGAGTGTAAGGATATCCGAGAAAACAGAAGCAGATAGTTTTCAAAAGTTAGAGGCAACAAACACCACAGAAGAACTATGCAATCGAAGATCCATAACATCGATAAAATGTTACAACGGAGTTTTCGTCCAGGCAGTTTTGTTGTACTCTACCACTCTGGAAGCATAAAACATCACATTTTGCCCAAGTGCATACATTTTTAATTAATCATTTTTGTTTCTAGAAATTATTATTACATTCAACGTAATCTTTGTAATTAAATAATACCCAGAAAAGATATCTAGAATAACGTCAAACAAGCTCTAATTAAAAAAGGGCTATTAATTATATTATCATGTTACTTTGAAAATTGCTCAGCTAACAACCAATTTATCGCTTTAAAAAACAGTCATATTATTTACTTGGATAGAAAAACAGTAAATTTAAATAATTTTTTCCACCACACTCCATTAGAGCACAGCCGTTGGAGGTAGAATATACACACAATTTAGTTATAAAAGATTCAATTTATTCGATTGAACGGACCCGAATAAATGTCTGCGGAATATGAACCAGAGAAATATGTACGGGTAAAAGACATATTTTAAATTTACTCGCAGCGATATTACGGGACTTTGATAGAAATTCGAAAATGAAAAAAAATCGAGAATATTTCACTGTAATGTCCTCAAAAATTGTATGAAATAATAATCACGTTACCGGAAACGAGCTGGAAATGAAAATACAGGGATTTTAATTGGCTCGTTAAAATCCGGTGTATTGTATTGTTAATGGGAATTAACTAAGATAACACCGGGGTTGGCCATAATTAATAACTCTCTGGACTCTGCAGCGATTCAATTTTTTTTTTTTGAAATTAATTGGAATAAGGGTGTCTTTGAAGAGGGATTGACAATAAGCCCTGAGGATTATTCCTCGCCTGTTTCCCTCTCACCTGAAATTTGGTTCGCTTTGGTTGCATTTCACCTGGCCATAGTTTAAGCGTTTAAGCTTTTCTATACGTAGTAAGTATCAAAATTTGTCGAATCAAAGGCTTTAAGTTCAATAAATATAGGCAAAACTGAGAGAATTACTACCTATCATTTGGAGGTGAAAGTTACATTAGAGTTCAAATGCCTTTGTAAAGCCGCGTCCACACCGAAGTCAACTTTGCCGATCGGCAGGTGTGGACGTGCCAGATAAGCCGTCTGGCAAGTCTACACCTGCCGAAAGAAGCCACCCTCTCTGCGAATCGGCAAAGTCGACTTAGGTGTGGACGCGGCTTTGGGCAATATTTCAATGACCACGGCAATGAAAAATTTCAATCTTGGTCTTGACATTGACAAACACAAATAGAGTGAGACTAGAAAGCTATCATTTCCTCACTTCTCTAGTCCAGCTTATCAATTAGTGACAAAATAAGGCTTTTTTTTCTTGTTTTTCCTAATTTGTAAAATTATAAACAAAAAAAACTTACATCCCAAATAAGTTTGAAGTCCTGTTGTTCCACCCTAAGCAATTCGCAAGTAGTTTGAGTAGCCACTGTGGTGTCCCTAGGCAAATCTTGTAAGATGGATTCTCCAAAGGTTGCCCCAACCCCCAGTGTACATAGCGTTACAGTACTCTGCAAAAAAAAGAAATACAATTTTGTTGTTATGATGTTGACTGTCTAATAATTAAAGTTAAGTATAAGAAAATTTTTATTCACATATCTGTGGTATATTTTCCACCAAATTCCAAAATAGAGAACTATTAGTATGAATATATATTTAGATTCAGTTAGCGATGTCAAATGTAATGTAACCTGTTGCCAGATCTGACCAACAGCTCGTACCTGAGGATCCATATCATCCTGCATTGTAATTCTCAAAATTATTATTATTATTATTATCAAGGAGAGACATGAAGGTGGTATAGATACTCAAAACTTATTCGGATGACTTTCTTAGAGGTTATTTTCTATTATTATATAAGTTGATAAAAAATATTGATTGGTTGGATATGCTGACATGTCTTAATGCCAGTACTAGCATTGATCTGTTTTATGAGAGATTGTATGATTGTATCGATAAAACCAAAGTTTGTACTCACGGAGTCAGTCACTGAACCAAAGTTTCTTATATGGGACTCAATTGATTTGGTGCGCAAAATACTGTTTTCAGACGAAGCAACTTTTAGTCTGCATGGTGAGGTAAATCGGCATAATTGCCGATTTTGGTTAGACTCTAATCCGCACTAGATGATGGAGACACGCACACAACGACCACAAAAAGTTAACGTTTGGTGCGGGATCCTTGGAGAATGCATAATAGGGCTATGGAAGGAAAGGACCCCGCACACTTCTTATGGGATTTTGGTTGAACGCGGAATTTAACCAAATTTTGGTATCTTGTATATTTCGACCTCCTGAGTAAAAGTTCTCATGGGTGCAAACCGATCCTATGACTAGTTTCGGATATAAGGGGGTTTTTCTAATACTACCTCAGGCAACCTGAAAATACTGAATTTTCATGCTTTTTGCGTTTATTTGTGGTAGGTAGCTTTAAAAAATGTTGAATAAGTTTAGACCTTTTACAGAAAGGTGCATGTTTTTAGTTAGGTGCCTATATATTTTATGTTTCATGCTTTTACTATTCAATTACCAGTAAGCTGGAAACATATCGGGCACATACAGGTGATTTGCTCACTTAGGTGCCGCTAAATAGATGTAGAAGTAATATTATTTGTGTATGTTAGTTAAAACAGTTGTTGATTGTAATTGTGTTTGAATAAATTTATTATTATTATTATTATTATTATTATATGTGAATGTACGAGGGTATTTTGAAAAGTACTTGTTTGGTGGGCCTTTGTGTGTTTTTAAAACAAACACAAATAGAAGTATGACAAACTATATACTGTATTTTTTCCCAAGATAGATTTTGACTTGACACTGTCAACTTTGAAACATAAACAATACCACTTATTGGTCGCAAGATGCCATTTGCACCTCATGCATTGTAAAACTGATTACAACCTGCAGGGACACCTCATTTTCCGACCAATCAGGGCCAAGCGTTATTGTTTGTTTCAAAGTTTTCAATGTCAAAATCCACCTTGAATTTTCAACAATAAGATCAAATCCTAACTTGTTTCGACGCTTTACAGCCAATCTACGGACTTCGGCATCTTTCAGTAATAAAACAGTGCGATTTACTCTTACTCTAGTCCTTCATTGCACACGTAGCGCATTACCTTTCCCGAATTGCCATTTTCACAAGAAAGGTGACAAAAAAGACAATTCGCTTTATTGACAGGGTCACTGTTTTGGTTTCCATGGTTACCAAGTGAAATATGACATATGAAAAAACAATTTTCATTGCTTTTCTTTCCATGGCTGTTTAGATTTTTCAAACAAATCACCAAGTGTATGTATACCTAATAACTAAACACTTAAACCCTAGGCCAAGGGATCATGAGGCAAAAAGTTTTTAGCACAAGCGTAGCGAGAATTGGAATTTATTGAGATAGAAAGTCACTTTTATCACAAAACGTAGGTACCTGAGTACCTACAAGTACACAATTTTTCACACTTTTGAACATTTTTGGTCATTAACTCATTTTGCTTAGTAATAGCCATAGTTTTTGAGCGCCCCTGGTATATAAAGGAAGAGTTACGAACACCTACTAAACATTTTTAGTTAAGGAAAGATGAAATAAACAACTTTTAAAGCAATACATGCAAGTTTTTTTGCTTTATGTACACTTTATATAGTTACTAAGGCTGCCTAAGGTAGTATTAGAAAACCCCCTGTATATCCGAAACTAGTCATAGGATCGGTTTGTACCTATGAGAACTTTTACTCAGCAGGTCGAAATATACAACATACCAAAATTTGGTTAAATTCCGCGTTTAACCAAAATCCCATAAGAAGTGTGCGGGGTCCTTTAACAGCTGAAAACTATTTACTTCTGTTGAAAAGTCAAATTATTCTTAGGATCCAGCACCTATTTCCCGATAACGAAAATTCAAATCTACCAGCTGAAAATATTTGGTTTCAGCAAGATGGTGCGCCGCCTCATTATGGCCATCGTGTGCGTGATTCTTTGGACCAAACCTTCCGTGGAAGATGCATAGGACGAAGAGGAGCAATTGCGTGGCCTGCTAGGTCTCCCGACATGACCACCTTCGATTATTTTTTATGGGGACATGTTAAAAATAAAGTGTATGTGGACAGACTCTGAGATATAGAAGAATTGAAGGAAAAAATCAGAGATGAAATTAGCAGTATATCAGGAGAAACATTACTGAACGCCTTACAAAACTTCGCTCAGCGAGTACATTATTGCCAAGAAGTGAATGGTGAACACTTTGAGCACCTCATAAAGTAAGGTTGTATTTGAGTGTTGTTATTTTTTAATTTTACTGTTGTTAAATTCTGATCACTTTCGTTTCCATTCATTACATTAAAAAAGCTGTGTTGTCACATTTCAACAAAAAAGTTGAATGGAGGTTTGACATTTAGGGGTTTTAGTAATGTTGGGACGCTGAAATAATTACAATAAAAATAAATAGGGGCATCCATTTAAAAAAATCAAGTTACATACGGCATCTCAGAAACGGCAAACTTAGCAACATTGCAAATACCCCCATTGATTCGGGCATTCCCAAAAATCCCCAGGTAGGGAATATTGTACATTTTGCTGAAGCCTGTTCTGAAATACGAGACTGTTTCCATACATTTCAATAAAAAATCTGTGTTGCCATATTTCAAAAACCAAGTCAAATAGACGCTTGACATTAAGGAGTTTTAGTAATGTTGGGACGCTGAATTGATTGCAATAAAAATAAAGAGGGGCATCCATTTGAAAAAATCAAGTTACATACGGCATCTCAAAAACGGTAAACTTGGCAACATTGCAATCACCACCATTGAATCGGGCATTCCCGAAAACCCGCAGGTAGGAAATATTGTAAATTTTTTTTAAGCCCGTTCTGAAATATCAGACCGTTTCCATACATAACAACAACCCTGTATAATTGCTTTTGTATTATTCTCAAGAATTTTCAAAAATGGACCTTTTAACTTTTGTAACCTTCTAACTTTCTGATATTAGATCAAGGATAGGATACCCTACAGAAAAACACACGAAACAAACATTTTCATGAACATTAAAAAAAAGTTACAGAAGTTAAATGGTCCAATTTTGGAAAATTCTTGAGAAAAGCAAATGATAAAAGTAAAAAACAGGGAACTTAAGGCCACAAGTGTATTAATAAAATATCTTCGAAATGGTCCTATCTATACGCCCACCAAGTTTGATTAACCCTCCGCCAAGCACCCTGTATATTGTAGATTGTATTAGTATTTATTACCTTTGCATATAATTACCATTTATTGGTGTTTGTGAAAAGAAACAATAAATAAATAAATAAATAAATAAATTTTAAAGTCTAGAAAACTTTAATCAAATTATTCAAATTTTGCTTGTAGATACCATTGAAGCAATTGTAATTATTTTTCAACAAAACAATATGTTTTTTTTGAAAAAGCCAAATGGTTTTGGACTTTCACCCTTTTACCCGAGTTTTTACCTTTTTTCAAATATTTTTGGTGTAACGTCATCACGCAATTAACAATTTTTTTATGACTTAGAACCTGTATACTAAAAACACTAAGAGTGTTCTTTTGGGTCAAGGTTGTTTTTTATTTTGGGATTTTGCTGTTTTTCCTCTTTGCGAATACACTGATCTATAGTGATGTCGAGTAGTCGTTTAGTTTTTTGGATATAGTATACTTCTTCTCAAATTCTATTTTTTTCAAATTATTGCTGAGCCTAAAGCCGACATCCCAAGACGCGTGGTTTGGCGGGCCTAGCTCGTGACTTGCCGAGCCACGCGTCGTGGAAGTAGGCTATATTATACGTAGCTTGGACTTTTCCGCTTCTTGTCGGTGAATTTGAAGCCGGCATCCCACGGCGCGTTGCGTGGCGAGCCGGGCTAGTGGCTCAGGCTTGTCGTCGCTCGTCCAGAATCGGCTTGGCAAGTGGATGCGATCTCACGACCTGTGGATCGTTGATATCGTCGTGTAAAGTATACGAGCCAAGCCTGAACAGGCTCGCGTTCCTTTTACTCGTGTCAAGCCAGCATCCTACGACGCGAGGCATGACGAGCCTAGCTCGCGACTTGCCGAGCCACGCCCCTTGGGTAAATTTGACACGAGTCAAAGGAATACGAGCCTGCTTAGGCTCTCAACGACGATTGCAACGATCCACAGGTCGTGGGATCGCATCCACTTGCCAAGCCCCGATCAACAAGCCGATTCTGGACGAGTCACGACAAGCCAGGATCGCCAAGCCAGACGTCGTGGGATGCCGGCTTAATACATCGTTTCAGAAGAGGTTAATGAAAAAGCCAATAGCCCAGTCGCTTGCCCCAATAAATCCATCCTTCCTAATAAGATCCAATACCAGACCAGAAGCTGCAAGGGAGATTGTCAAAAATGAGCCTGTTATATCCTTATTATATTTGTTTCAAAAGGTATGTTGTAAGGTATACACTAGTAATTGTAAATATTGCTTTTCGACTTTGATAGATATAATATGTGTGTCAAATAGTCTGGTTTTATATTATCATATCAAATA